TAAAGTCACTGAGTTTATTATAGTCCCTTGGACAGTGTGAGTTGACAAAAGGTACCCTTTATTTTTTTTTTTATATTTAAAACGTTGCATTTATTCCTTGGCAGAGGCGCAGCACACATCATAATGGTTCTGAGGGCAGCTCACATGATCAGTGGTTTCCTGCCACCATGTGGGTCTCTGTGGTGTAACTCGGGTCACCGGGCTCGACAATAGGGGCCCTTACTTGCTGCGCTCTCGTGATGGCCCTGGGTCTCCCTTTCTTCATCGTGGACAGCTTCCAGGACTCTCTCATCTTCTCTTATTAAGTGACCAAGTGGCTCAGAATTCCAAAAGTCTCAGCAGGACCCCTTCCCATTCTGTCTCAGGAGCTGAGACTCTCGGTCCTGAGGAACATAGACTGGGTGGACCCTGGGCTTCTGTGTCAGCATCATATGGAGCCTTATATGACTTCCTGGATCCTCCCACAGATGTGCGGGAAGGTCGGGACCTCTTAGGGTTCCGGAGGTTCTAACAGAACTGTACACGATAGACATATTAGTGATAGGGAATCAAGAGAGGCTGGCAGAGGGGGCAGGGAGGGAGGGAGGGAAGATAGTGGCCTCTTGCCTGTTTCTCATGGATGTGTGTCATCTTGGACTTAGGATAGATCATTAGTGAGGTCACCTGTGAAGTTCTGGTTTGCAGGCTAAAACACATGTCAGGGACCATCCTTATCAATGATGGAGTCACACCTGAACTTTGGTTTTCGTCTTAGGGTACTGAGTAAAGTGTTTGTATTTTTCTGCATTCCCTGGGTGTCCCAACAACGTGTACATATTTGTATGTTTGCTCGCTCTCCAGGTTATCTCACGAGCAACCTATCTCCTTCATCATCCCAGCTCGCCCCTGTCTCTTCCCAGGCTCTGCCCATCCTGTCACCACAAATACTTGCTTGTGTCTCACTTCCTCATACCTCCTCTCTCTGGAATGGAAACAAGGAAAAACCCCTAGGAGCAATGTGAAGGAGAAAAAAACCCCAGGTCTCTATGAGTCACTGTAGGTGAGGTGGGGATACAGCCTGAACACCAGGGCCAGGCCTGGGGCCCACCCAAGACCTGGTCTGTCTGGTTTGTTCCTCTTCCGTGTGAAACTAGCAGCCATGATGATGCATGAGCTTGAGCTACATGATCTGCAAACACCTGATTTCCCCCGCGCCACTTGAAGCGAGTGTAAGCATTAGTCCTATTGGATAGAAGGGCAAGCTTAGGTACAAAGAGATGAAGTGACTTGTTTGTTTTCCACTGAACCTTGTTTGCTAAGTGTCACCGGTTGCTCTGGTTGCCACAGCAAAATGCCACAGACTGAGCGATTAAACACTTGTCAGCAGAGAGCTCAAAGGGAATGAGAGAATTTATTCTTGAACCAAATGGTCAATCATCCGTTGCCCCGGAGTGTGGATTTCTGCTGCTCAGAGTAACACTCTAATTTGGAAACGGTTTCATGAAGCTTTCATAGTTACACAACAGAAGCAATTACAGGCTGTGTAGTAAGCATAACATTGTGATACTTTAAGGGATGTTGTAGCAAGAGAAAGACGTGATTGACTTTGCTTAGGAAACAGAGGCTATGCCACTTCGAAAAGGCAGGGGGCTTGGAATGTAGCTGGGCTGGTAAAGTGCTTGCATAGCATGCTGGGAGTCCTAGGTTCAATCCCTACATGCATTCCTGTAACTCTAAGTCTTAAGAAGGGGAGGCGGGGGTGGGGGGGGTGGGGGGGTAGGGGGGTGGGATCGGTAGTTCAAGGTCATCCTCAGCTACATGAGTTTGAGGTTGGAGTGAAGAAGAGTCACCGAGCGTGAAAGCACACTTGTACTCATGTCTCTGGCATGGTGGGTACCATGGTGAGCATGGCAGGATGCTCACGAACCTGCCACCTCAGTTTCCTGTATTCCAAAGGAGCTAGAGGGCAGAAACTGATAGAAGAAATTTAATCTGTTTGCACTTTGGTTAACCCAGGGAGAGGGTTTCTTCCCAGCCATGCAAAGACTAGAACATATGTTACTTTAGCTGTGGGACAGGTTAACTAGCCCTTCGAGGGGTGGAGGCTGAGGCCCAGAATGTCCCCATTATCTGTTACAGAGACAAGTTTTTATTCAAATTCAGGTGAGGAAGAAAATGGGCTCTTAAATATTATCCATTCTTTAAAATATTTAGTTTTGGGGCTGGAGAGATGGTTCAGCGGTTTAGGGCACTGACTGTTTTTCCAAAAACCTGGGTTCAATTCCCAGCACCCACATGGCAGCTCACAACAGTCCAGTTCCAGAGGATCCAACACCCTCGCACAGACAGAACCTCTTCAGAAGTCAGTCCACATCAACAGCACTGTCCCTCAGAGTAGGCAGACACGGTAGGCAGTGTGAGCCGTCCTACACGGGTGCAGGGACTAAATTAGGCCCTCTGGAGAGCAGCAGGCGCCTGTAACCCCTGAACTGTCTTTCCAGCCAAGAAAACACTTTTTAAAAATAAAAATGAGGGCTAGAAAAATGGCTCAGTGGGTAAAGGCACTTGCCCACTAAGCCTGATGACCCGAGTTCAATCCCTAGGACTCACGTGACAGAAGGAGAGTGTTGACTTCTGCTGTTGCTCCCTGGTCACCACACATGCATACGCACACACAAACAAATAAAAGGTAAAAATTTAAAACCAAACAAATGCAATGCATTAAAGAAAATATGTATGTCACTTGAATGCTGCCTCCTTTTGCTGTTGTTCACCAGCAGGCCAGGTTTACCTACGCTTTGTCATCACTGGACATTGGAATTTGGGGGCACAGAGGACTCCCCAAACTTGAATGCATCTGTCACTATTGAATCTGGGCACTTTTGTGGGGGTGCATTTAGGTTTGGGGGATGTGCAGGTACATGTCTGTGGATGTAGAGGCCAGAGAACTGTTCTGAGTGTGGATTCTTAAGCAAGAATTGTCAGAACTGGATTTTGGCAATATCGGAATTCTGCAATGAGTTAATAGTAAAAATGGCCATGAAATAACACGACCAAATGCACGTCTTCAGTGGCCTACTGGGATGCCTAGTGGCCATTTGTGAGAGCTTTATCACACACCTACAAAATGAGCAGAAACCAAAGCGATCTTTCTTACCATGCTGCAGGTCTTCCGTGGTGGCAGTTTCAGCATTCGAAAGACTCCTGCTCTCCTGGGTCCCGGTGATAATGACACGGCCAGGACCCAGGAGGGACCCACTCCCATACGGATTGTTTGTAAGCGTAATTAGAGTGTTTATAGGGACCAGAGGGGGCGAGTTCTTATGAATCATCACTCTGTGGGGTCAGGGCTGCATGTACACAGAGAAAGGACAGCAAGAGTAGAGCCAGCTCCTCTTGGTCTGCAGGGACAAGCGACAAAACCCCAGTGGACACTTGGAACTGCACTTTATACTGACCTCTGCAATGCGCTGTTCTTTCCAAACGTGCGTACCAGTGATGGAGCTGATTTGTGAATAGGCGCCGCAGGTGATTAGCGTGATGTCCAGTAATAAAATAGAATTGAGACGATGAGTGTGATAATAATCGTCATGATAGTATCGTGATAATTTCTTTTGAAAAAACAAGATGAATAGAAATGTTTCCAGAGTACATTTGACCACATGTAACTGGAACCACGTGGAAAACAAGACTGTGGATAAGGGTGGATGACTGTACAAGCGGGTGTTGCCTTTTCATCACGGCTCTGACCCTCATGCCTGCCGCATGGCGCGTCCTCAGTGAGCATTTGATGACTGAATCAGAGGTGCGGGATTGTGGCTGAGTAGCGAACTGTGAGTTCTGTATCTTGTGTCGTGTGCGCTTCACTTGCCCTCCACACAGCAGTGTGCGCGGTGCTGGCCCCTTGCTGTCCTGATGCTCGGCTTTCGGACTCTAAAACGAAGACAGTCGCACAGTGACACTCACACACACACGTTAATGCGCCATTCGTGTGTTTCAACCCTCTCTGCACTCTGCCATCTTTTTTACTCTGGGACTTCATGGTGAGAATTTTGAGTCTAAACTTTAGCTGCATGTTGGCCTTGCCCAAAGGTGACGAGCAATAGTGGGTCTGTTTGCTTTGCAGGGATGTGGAAACAGAGTTTGAGTTCCAGAACCCACATAAACAATAATTTAAAAAACTGTGATGTTGGGCACCTGTAGTTCCAAAGCTGAGGAGACAGAGACAGGAAGATGGTGCCTAAGGAACCACACTCAGGACAGTCCTCCGGCCTCAACATCTACAGACATGTACCTGTACATCCCCAAACCTAAATGCACCCCCACAAAAGTGCCCAGATTCAATAGGTTACAGTGACAGCTGCATTCAAGTTTGGGGAGTCCTCTGTGCCCCCCAAATCCCAATGTCCAGTGATGAGGAAGCGTAGGTAAGCCTGGCCAAGTTGTTGGAAGCCGCTTACCGCATGGGCTTCTGTGCGGACTGGGCTCATTGTCACGGATGTCAGAGGGTCCAGAGGTGGAGAACGGCCCTCAAGCCTCTTTGATAAGGAGCCTGAGGCAGAGGCCTGAGGTTGTCCTTGGTTCACAGGAGCCCAAAGGAATCCAGCAACCTAGATTTGGGGCTGCACAACTCTCACCAGTGTGGAAATAACTTGTTGGGGACTTGAGATAGAGAACGGCATGCTGGGAACTGTGGGGGCGGGGTCAGTGAAGGATGCTCCGGTCCTGGGGTGGAGAGCAGTAACTACTGTGTTCTCCAGGTTACATGCTGGCTTCAACAGTGTTCAGAGCCTCATCCTTTCCTCCTGGCAGTGTCTGCATGTTTTCTCCCCTGCCCACTGCTGCCGCTTGTCCAAAGTCACACAGGCTCCAGTGCTTAGTCGTAGAGTTCCGTACTATTGAAGGAGCAGGGGCCCTGTGCTGCTACTGAGCCAGGAATTGGGCTCAAAAGGCCCTTTGGGGCTTGGCGAAGGCCAGTGTGGGAGGATCTTGGCGGTAACCATATTCTTTCCCTCCTTCAGGCTGCCCATTCTCCAAGGAGGGACCTTTTCTTTTGTGGCACCCTCTCTGGCCATGCTCTCTCTTCCTGCCTGGAAATGCCCCGAGTGGACGCTCGATGCCAGCCAGGTCAACACCAGCTCCCCTGAATTCACTGAAGAGTGGCAGAAGAGGATCCGAGAGGTAGTGGAAGAGTGGGGTGCAGAGCGGATTCCCTTGCTCAGCCATCATTAGCCAGCTCTCTGTGAGGAAGACGTTTTATTTAATCCACCGACACAGACAAGTCAGACAAGGGTCCTGCCCTCGGGAAGCTGTCAGTCCAGTGATGTGTGTGTGTGTGTGTGTGTGTGTGTGTGTGTGTGTGTGTACGTGGTGGGAGGGAGAGAGAAACACTCCAGTAAGAAAAGGAAAACAAAACAGGCTGATGGGCAGCAGAGGATTTGGAGCTGTCTGCGTGGGGAACATGGGGACAGAACATAGGTCTTCTTGAGAACATTCAAGTGACATTCTTTAATCAATTGCATTTGCTTTGGTTTTTGTGACATACAGGGATCCCTAATGCAGGAGTCAGCAAACTATGAGTCTTAAACCAAATTCTATCTATGGCCTGATTTTATTTATTTTTCTTTTTTTAAATTTATTTATTTCTTTATTAATTAATTAAAGATTTCTGTCGCTTCCCCACCGCCGCCTCCCCTTTCCCCCCCCCTCCCCCAGCCAAGTCCCCCTCCCTCGTCAGCCCAAAGAGCAATCAGGGTTCCCTGCCCTGTGGGAGGTCCAAGGGCCACCCACCTCCATCCAGGTCTAGTAAGGTGAGCATCCAAACTGCCTAGGCTCCCACAAAACCAATAGGTGCAGTAGGATCAAAAACCCATTGCCATTGTTCTTGGGGTCTCAGTATTCCTCATTGTCCACTATGTTCAGCGAGACCGGTTTTAACCCAGGCTTTTTCAGACCCAGGCCAGCTGGCCTTGGTGAGTTCCCGATAGGACATCCCCATTGTCTCAGTGTGTGGGTGCCCCCCTCATGGTCCTGAGTTCCTTGCTCGTGCTCTCTCTCCTTGTGCTCCTGATTTGGACCTTGAGATTTCAGTCTGGTGCTCCAATGTGGGTCTCTGTCTCTGTCTCCTTTCATCGCCTGATGAAGGTTAATATTCAGGAGGATGCCTATATGTTTTTCTTTGGGTTCTCCTTCTTATTTAGCTTCTCTAAGAACCCGAATTATAGGCTCAATGTCCTTTATTTATGGCTAGAAACCAAATATGAGTGAGTACATCCCATGTTCCTTTTTTTGGGTCTGGCTTACCTCTCTCAGGATAGTGTTTTCTATTTCCATCCATTTGCCTGCAAACTTCAAGAAGTCCTTGTTTTTTACTGCTGAATAGTACTCTAATATGTATATATTCCATACTTTCTTCATCCATTCTTCAATTGAAGGGCATCTAGGTTGTTTCCAGGTTCTGGCTATTACAAACAATGCTGCTATTAACATAGTAGAGCATATACTTTTGTTGTATGATAAGGCCTCTCTTGGGTATATTCCCAAGAGTGGTATTGCTGGGTCCATGGGTAGGTTGATCCCGAATTTCCTGAGAAACCTCCACACTGCTTTCCAGAGTGGTTGCACAAGTTTGCATTCCCACCAGCAATGGATTAGTGTACCCCTTTCTCCACAACCTCTCCAGCAAAGGCTATCATTGGTGTTTTTGATTTTAGCCATTCTGACAGGTGTAAGATGGTATCTTAAAGTTGTCTTGATTTGCATTTCCCTGATCGCTAAGAAAGTTGAGCATGACCTTAGGTGTCCTTTGGCCATTTGAACTTCTTCTGTTGAGAGATCTCTGTTCAACTCAGTGCCCCATTTTATAATTGGGTTGATTAGCTATGGCCTGATTTTATAAATGTGTGTTTGTGTGCATGTGTGTTTGTGTGTGTGTGTGTATATATATATATATGTGTGTGTGTGTATGTGTGTATGTTTGCCTGCATGTATATTTGCATACCACGTGTGCAGTGACCTCATAGGCCAGAAGAGAGCCTCAGATCCCCTGGAACTGGAGTTACAGGTGGTTGTGATCCACGATGTAGATGCTAGGAACAGAATCTGAGTCCTCTGCAAGAGCAGCAAGTGCCCCCTAACCATTGAGCTACCTCTTCATCCTCTGTGGCCCATTCTTCTATTGCCAAGGACTAAGAATGACTTTTCTATTTCCAAAAGGTTGTTTGAAAAAAATAATGCGAGGCAGAAACCATACGTGACACTCATAGTCTAAACATTGTCCTTCTTGGCCATTTACAGATAGGGCCTACAGACTTGTACTTTACAACACAGGGCCTGGGTCAGGTTCTGGTGGCCCCGGGCTAAGGTGGCCTGTCACTTCCCTTTCCCTAAGAATCCCTGAAGAATCAGCACGGTGAGCCACAAGGCCAGTTCTACTCATTATTAGCTCTTTGTGCTGGCCACGGTCTTCCAGAGTGCTGAACAGCAGAGAGAGCGCTTCTGAGTGCTCTTGGCCTCAGTTGATCAGTGCCTGGTTGTTTAATTCACTCTTGGGATGGAATGGCTCCCCCGTGTCTACTGAACATCTGCCTCAGTGGCGGAAGCCAGAGATGGTCAGCAGGTTGACCGCACAGGACAGGTCCAGCCAGTGAGAGCTGGACCACTGAGATCGAAGGAACGGTTAAAAGGGAACTGTGTTCTCATTGAAAAAGTTGACAGTAACGCTGTAAGAATACATACAGGGGATCCAGAGGCATCTTGGTTGGCAGAGTGTTTGCTTTAGTGTGCACAGAACCCTGGGTGTGATCCTCTACAGCCTGTAGGTCAGATGTATCGGCAGCACTCTGGAGGTGGGGGCAGAGAATCACAAGTTCAAAGTCATAGTGGATTCAAGGTCCCAAGCTGTGGGACCACATGAGCTCCTATCTCAAAATAAAATATAACATTTTTAAAGAGAAAAGATACCATCAGCACTACTAAGGCAAAGGGGGAGAGACAGACTCGTTGAATCCGATAGACCAGGCGGCACAGAACCAAATCCGGCCTGTTCATTAATTGCTCAGCAGCACACACGCTAAGAATGGTCTCTGCATTTTAAGTGCTAAATTTTAGAAACATAGGAAGAAGAATAAGATACGCTGGCACATCACACTTCCGTGAAATCCCATTTTCATTGCCTGGGAATGAAGTTCCGATGGAACACGGCTTTTGCTTCTTGTTCGTCTTGCCTGGAAACACTGCAGCGCCTCACTTGCGGCCACAGAGCCTAAAATATTCTAACTGGCAGTTTGTGGGGAGAGTTTCCCACCACTTGCCACAGAAAGTGAAAGACAGAGGAACAGAGAAGCAAGGTGCTGACCTTGTGGTGGGCCGGCCTTCCTCCTACTACAATCCACAAGCAGTTGTGAAACCTATCTCCTCGAAGCCACAGTTACTGAAAATGCGAGCTCAGAGCTCCCTTCCCCTGCATTCCTTTGAGGTCCAGTTGGGCCTCTGCACTCCCAAGCTGTGGTTAGGGTAGCCAATGGGCTGCTGCAGCCAGCCCTGCGTGGAGGCCCCCTCTTCACTGAGGCCCACACCTCTCCTTCAGTTGCAGGGTGCTATCATGGTGGCTTCCTGTGTGCAGATGCTGGTGGGTTTCTCAGGTCTCATTGGATTTCTTATGCGCTACATCGGCCCCTTGACCATCGCCCCCACCATTTCTCTGGTGGCCCTGCCTCTCTTTGAATCTGCCGGCAACGACGCCGGGATCCACTGGGGGATATCTGCCTTGTAAGTATTCTCTGAGAAAGGTAAGCCGTCTTGGTCCTGTTTGGTGGAAAGTTACCCATTAAACACTTTGGAGGCCAGAATATTGGCAAACTCCTATGGTTTGTAAATACTTCCATGGCATTATCATATCTTAAGATGTTGAAATATGAGCAGCGGCAGGGCTGCGTCCCCAACACCCCGGCCGCTTGGCTAGCTCATGCCCGAAATAACAACACACAAACTGTATTCATTTAAAGAACTGCTTGGCCCATACTCTAGCCCTTATAGGCTAATTCTCGCACCTGGACTAGCCCATTTCTAATAATGTGTGTAAGCACCCCAAGGTGCGCTTACCGGGAAGAGTCTAGCCTACATCCATCTTCATCGCGTGTGCCTCAGAGAGCAGAGCTATCGCGTCTACCCGGGAGAGCTGAGCATGGCGTCTCTGCTCCAGCAGAGCTGTTGTGTCTCTCCGGGAGCAGAGCAGAGTCTGACCTCACTTCCTCTTCCGCCCAGAATTCTATTCTGTTTA